GACAATGGAGGTTGAGTAACTTCTTCCTAACCTTCACGCCATTGCTCCGCCTCTGTTTTCAACAAAATATTTGCATTTTCAAATTACTTGACTCAGGTACGTATCTCGATTTCTCTGTTCGATTCTCTGTATGCTGCTCTGAACCCAGACCAATTTCTTTATGAGTGTTCGCCTAACAACGCAGTTATCAAGTTCTAAGTAAATTTTGGGCTTTTAGGAAAATTTAATTTCTGATGCGGTTAAGTGAGGTTCTAATTAATTCTTCTAGTGATCTTTCTTATTTGAGTTTGTCCATCAGCTTGTGTTCTTGTCCTTGGCGAATTGAGTTTAAGATCTACTAATTTTTCAGATATGCTTCATGAATCACACGGTTTTTATGAATTAATTTTTTAGATAATCATTTTAGAGAAGATTAGCGAGAAAGCTTTTATGAATTAATTTATACATATGAATAAATTTATTTCATTTTCTTTTCATTTTCTTCTATTAGGTTTAACCAGTACTTCTAAGCAGGTTTATCTAATTAAAAACCTTAGATATCTAACCCTTCAATCAAAATTCCCTATAAACCTACAAAATAAAGAAAGAAGAGGATTGAAAAATGTGTTCGGTGACATAACCGAACGCCCAAGTTACTCGGACACAGGATGAAACACTTAGAGCAGGAGTGAGGTTGTTTTCTCATTCACTAACCGCCTATGTTTTCTTTTGTGTTTGTTAGTTATTTTGTCCTCATGGGTGAAACAGGAAATTCATCTCAAATGTTTTAATTTATAATAAATACAGGTTTAATATACTACTTATGTTTATGTTAGATGATGAATGGAAACTGCATTTTCTAATCTTGGTTTGATGAACTTGACCACATGAAAGTTAGATGGGGTTGGAACTACTTTTCATAAGAAAATCTTAGGAACAGATAACTTGAACACAGGCTAAGTTAGCAACTTAACATTTTGCCTTTTTTTTTGTTTGCGGTTTGTATTCTTTACCTTCTGATTATCTGAATAGTTGCTGAGGTGACAATTTGATGACTGGTTCCAGTTTGAGTAAATTTAGACCAGATTGCTCTTGGAAAGTACTGCTTTGTTGACTTTATAAATGTTTAATGTGTGATAGGGGCACGTAGAGATAGACGCCATGGTTTCTTCTCGTGGTCTAACTACTAAGCAACCACTTTTTTCTTTTGGATTGATTTCTGATGTCCAATATGCTGATATTCCTGATGGTCGCTCATTCCTTGGTGTTCCACGATATTATAGGCACAGTATTCTTGTGTTGCAGAGAGCAGTTAAAGAATGGAATACTCATCAGAAGCATATGTTTGTGATTAATTTTGGAGATATTGTTGATGGGTTTTGTCCCAAAGATCAATCTCTTGGTACTGTACAGAAAGTTGTGGACGAATTTGAGAAGTTCAAGGGGGGACCTGTGTATCATATGATTGGAAATCACTGCCTATACAATCTCCCTCGCAGCCAGTTGCTTCCGTTATTGAAGATCCAAAGTCTTGATGGCCGTGCATACTATGATTTTTCACCGGTGCCTGAATATAGATTTGTAGTTCTGGATGCCTATGACATCAGTGCCATTGGTTGGCCACAAGATCATCCCAAAACATTGGAGGCCATGAAAATCCTTCGGGAGAAGAATCCAAATGAAAATATGAACAGTCCAGATAATTTGGAGGGGCCTGAAAGAAGGTTTCTCATGTTTAATGGGGGTCTTGGAAAGGAACAGATGGAATGGTTGGATGGAGTTCTCCTGGATGCGACAATATTGAATCAGAAGGTGATTGTCTGTTGCCATTTGCCTCTGGATACTGGTGCGGCAAATTTGGATACACTGTTGTGGAATTATGATGAAGTAATGAATTTGATACACAGATACAATTGCGTTAAGGCCTGTCTCGCAGGGCATGATCATATAGGTGGATACTCCATTGATTCTCATGGGATACACCATAGAGTTTTTGAGGCTGCTTTGGAATGTCCTCCTGGTACGAGTGCATTTGGATACATTGAAGTCTACGACGACAGGATATCACTAATCGGAACTGACAGAATGGAAAGTACAGACATGCATTTTAGCCCCCGAAGTTAATTTGTGTTAGAGGATGTGATCTTATTTATAAAAATTCCTATTATCTTTTATTAACAATTGATAGAGTACGTGTGGTCTTATTCTATTCTTACCAAGAGAAAGTTTGTATTTAAAGTTTGAATATTGGTACAGATAAATTGCAAGTTCATGAATTAGGTTTTATGTATTTAACTATTGGATTCTTGAAAATAATTCATCATTGAAAGTTTCACAATTTCACATTGTCTAGGATAAATAATGGAGTGATGATAAAGTAGAGAAGAATGCAAAATAAGATAGAGATATAGATGTCATACTCTAGCATATTGATGAGCTAACGAACATTCGTCTCAAAGATTTTTATTTTTTATAAGAACTAGAGTTGAAAATGCCAATTATAAGTCAAAGAAGATTTGTTACAAAAAAAATTCAATATTTGATAATAACTAGAGTTTTAATCCAAAAACCAAGAAAATCATCGCTCAACGAAAAATCATTTTTTATATAATGACCATCTAAGGTGTTCTTATATATAGTCACAAATGTTTAAACAAATTAAGAAATCCTAAAAAAAAGTCCAAAGCTATCAAACTAAAAAATAACATGAAAATTTAAAAATAGACTTGTCGCCTAGCGAGTTCTTTCGTCTAGTGACAGTTACAAACTATTTTAAATTAAAAGAAAATTACAATAATTTTAATTGCCTATAACTATTCTATAATTGTGTTCTAAGCCATGATCTTCATGTCTTAATGTTCTTTAAATCGCAAAGGTTGCTCTTCATGTTCTTCTTTTATTGAATCAGGTGATAGTCCTCTATCATACTCTCATTCTTATTGAGAATTTATCCTCAAATTCATATCACTTGAAGATTCGTTCTCCTATGTATTGAATCATGGGATAGTCCTCTATCATATATTATTTTTTGTAGATAATTTGTGCACAAATTCATTCCACTTGAAGATTCCTTCTCCTTAAGTTTGGTAGTGGGTAGAAGTAGCTCCCTCCTTTTATTTCTCCTTATCATTCCATGAGGTGGATGACTTCTTGTAGAAGGTCCTTTTCTTAAGTTGTTATTTTCCTAGACCTGATCAATGCATCGTCATCCTCCACTTCTTAGATAGAATTCGACCATAAATTCAAGAAGATCTTAAGCATAAACACACACATAAATCAAAGACGCAAATATAAAATAATCCAAAATAAATTTTTTACTGAAATAAGATTTGGATAAGCAAATATCTTATTATCAAAGGGTTCGAGGTCTACCTCTAGGGTCAAATACCCACTTGTAAAAAACATCAGTAATGATTAGGTATAGCAAAAAAATCCGCGTCCGCGGATATCCGTGGTTAAAACCCGTGACGGATAGTTAATACCTACGGATATTTACTATCCGCGGGTTGCGAGTAGCGAATATTTTAGTACCCGCTTATAAACGGGTCGAGTGCGGGTATTATATTATCCGTACCCGCGAATATCCGCTACCCGCAAAAAAATAAAAATAAAAATTTAATTTATATTTTATTAAGTTAAATTTAATTAAAATTAACATTAATTTATATTTTATACGGTTAAATTTAATTAAAATTAAATTTTAATTTATATTATATTTTATATATTTTTTTTGTAATTTTAATTAAATTTTATTTTAATAATTTATAAAAATATATTTTTTTAAATATTTGTGGGTATCCGCGGGTATTCATGGGTATTTACGGGATTTAAAATATCTACTGATATTTTTTAAGCGGATATTTGTGCGGGTAGCGGGTTGAGTAATAGGTGGATTTTTTTTGTTGGGTCGGGTTGCAAGTAGGCACTATCAGTGCCCGACCCGACCCGTTGCCATCCCTAGTAATGATGTTATGCCTAAAGAAAAGCAAAAGAACATTGTCCAAACAAACACCCAAACTATAAGTATGATTTGTTGGGAATTCAAGTGTGAGTCTAAGTCCCACATTGGATAGAAATGAGAAAGTAGAACAGTATATAAAGATGAAAGACCCATTAACCCATTACCTTAAGGTTTTGGGTAAAGAGTAGTGTCGACCCCTTATATATTTGGCTTAGATGTTATTGATGTTTGTGTAACTCACAGGGAACCTCCTCCTTGATAGACTCAATAGTGGTATCAGAGCCGATGGTTTGTCTTAGTGACCAGCTCGGGCGAGTATAACGATCCTTATACCGAAAGTCTTCCTAGGGTATTCAGGTAAGCAAATTCCGTTAAGGTACGACGATTGGAAGGGCTACTCATGGTTGTGGTTGGTTGGGAATGCTTCCGTTGGAGGGGGAGTGTACCTATGTGGAAAGGACTCACCCTTGAGGGGGAGATTGTTGGGAATACAAGTATGAGTCTAAGTCCCACATTGGATAGAAATGAGAAAGTAGAGCAGATCCCTTATATAGTTGGCTCAGATGTTATTGATGTTTGTGTAACCCACAGGGAACCTCCTCCTCGATAGAACCAACATGATTTTGACTACCCATAAGTTTGTTTGGATTGGATAGATAAACTAACTCTTGTGTATATATTTCCAAACTTGCATCCTAGCCGATAAGTTTGTTGAGGATGAATAAACAAACTAACTCAAACTTATATATTTTCAAGCTTACATCCTCTTTCTCGGTCTTCCTTTCTTCTTTCCATTGTTGACACCATTGCTCTTTTATAAACAAATCCTCTCTAGGCAACAAAACAAAACGAGTTGAGTTAGTATATTCCTCTTTCAATCTTTCTCTTTTCTTCTTCCTTTTTCGCTTTCTTTTCTTTCCCTCATCTCTCCTTCCTTTCTCCTTCTTCCTTCACTCTTTTCATTCTTCTCTCTCTCTTTCTTTCATTCTTCTTCCTTCTCTCTCTTTTCTTTATCGTCTTCTTCTTTCTCCTCTCTCTTTTCTTTCTCCTCTATCTTTCTTCTAGTATTCTTCTTTTTCTCTTATTGTTTCTTTTTGTGCTATTTGCTTTTATTTTTCTCTTTTCAACACCTCTATCCTTTGCCACATCTTTTTTCCTTCTTTCAAGTATAAAATATAGTTATTGAGGTCTTCATTACTCATGTGACTTGCAATCCAATTATGACATTGAGAATTTTCATGACCATAGTCATCGTATTTGAAGCATATGAGAGAACTTGTTTTATCCCTTGACAATGATTTTCTGTCAAGATTGTGCTCCCTTCTTAGACTATCAATCTTGCCATTCAACTTCACAATTTTGTACACCAAGGTATTGACATCCTCCACCAAAGCCAAACTTATATGAGGTGTCTCTTGTATCCCATGCTCTTTTCTCCTTTGTTAGGCCTTCGAGAGCTACATTTTTTTCCTTCACTAGTACAAAAACAGCGTATAACGTCACGCGTTGAACGTCGAACCACTGAATAACAAACGTTAAAAATGAGCGGTGGAATTTTTGTAAATAATAAAAGGATATAAAACGTCGAATGACTTTTAAATTCGACATCAAAAGGTTAGTGAATTCAATAAAAAATTGTGCGAGAGATTGAAATTTCATTCACTTTATCTTAGCGTGCGATACCCTCTTCTCTTCTCAAACTTTTCTCGAAAGAAGTTTGACGAAAATCAAATGTAATCTATCTTTCATTTGATACAAATGCATGATAATTAATTACTTTATATATGATTTTTGTTTGTTTTAACCGATTATTTTCGTGCTCTTGTCCTTCATAGACACATTCTGTTTTCTCTCTCATTGTGACGAAACTTTATTCCGACGAACCCACCTTTTAAAGGTTAGTTTTCGTTTTCGTTTTTGCTTTGAAGAACTTATTTGTTGAAGTTGTTTGTTATTTTTTTTTTGTTGAACTTGTTTGTTGTTGTTGTTTAGTTGAACTTGTTTGTTGTTGTTTGATTGAACTTGTTTGTTGTTGGTTATTATTGTTTGTTGTTGATACTACACTACATGTTCATAGTTCATGCTTTATAAAATACCAAAAACTGAATTTTTTTTTGGTTTTTACTTTTCGGGTCTCATAGAATTGTAAAAATGGATCACAGTTAATTAAAACAACAAAAAAAAATTGATTAACGTCAAATATTGGCAAAATTCGACGTTAAGTTAATGTCGTATATTAACAAAATTCGACGTTAATTTAACGTCAAATTTTTTAAATTCGACGTAAATTTAACGTCTCCTGATATGACGTTGTTCGCGAATTCGCTGTCAAAAGCCCAAAATATTCAATGTTATACGTGATTTTTGTACTAGCGCTTGTATTTTGCAAATTTTTAGAACTGCCACTATGCCAGAAAATAACTTTTATACTGGTTTTTGAATCAGTATAAAGGCAACAGAAACATAAAGTATTCGAATTTTTATATCGGTTCCAAAATTGATATAAGAAGTCTACTTTTTATATCGGTTATGAAACCGAAATATAAAGTGATGGAGATGCTCCTTCAACCTTGTTGATGAAGCTAAATGGAAATGAAATGGCATTATAGAAGTATTGTAAACGAGATTAAGAGTGCTTAAAGGTTGCAGTTTTGATGAAGTTCCTTAAAGATGGTTGGGCCAACCTTGAAGGAAAAGGAAGAAGAAGTATAAAATAGAAGACAACTCCAATGAGAACCAAGAAGAGAGGCTTGCAAATTTGGCAAAGTTTCTCTACATTTAATCAAGTTCTAAGTTCTTTACAAAGGGTGTCTCTCCTTTTATAGGTGAAGCTAGAGTACATTGAATCCGAAAGAGCCTAGAAGCTTCCCTTTGGCAAGGGGGAAAGAATGAGAGCCTTTCCCTTGTAACTAACAGGTCAAATGCATTGAATGGGAGCCTCCCTTGATGTTGACCGGTTAAGGCTCCTTCTCCATGTTTTCTTCAAAGCCCAAATAAGCCCACTTAAGTGTTAATCCACCTTTAAGGCCCCAATGATGCACTAATCTTCTTTTGAGTGCACCAAAACCTTTTAACCAAAACTAAACAAGGTTATTGTCCAAATACAAGGCCTAAAATGAAACTATATTACATATTTACAAAGTGTTTAAGAGAAAAGAAGACGTTGATAGTTGATCCTCCACAAAAGTAGACTCCTTGAAGCTTTATCTTCCTTTTCCATCCTCTTGACCATGGCTCTTGTGAGTGGTCCAATATGTGCTCCAGATGGTCCTCCATCAGAAAGTTCGCTAAGAGAGGGATAAATTTGTATATGATCCAAACATTTTATACTAGT